GTCATGTCACATCGAAAGGTAACCGTCTTGCTAATTCACTAGCCAAGAAAGCAGCCAACCAAATACTTTTTGGACCTGGCCCCTCTATTGGCCTGACAAAATCGGTAGTGACAGACTTAATTAAAGAACATTCCCTTGTGAAATTCAAGGAAAGATGGGATGAAACAAGAAACTGCATAGTTGCCAGGGAGCTCTTAAGTTATCCCGACAACACTGCAGCAAACAAATACTTGACTATGACTAAAAGAATCTGCGCCCAGTCACAGGCATTCTGATTGGTCATTGCCACTGTCATTGGGGCTGTCAGAATCCGCATTCTGCAGAGGGTGTGAACAAGAAGATAAGACCATCGAGCATATCCTTTACGTTTGCTCGACGCATTTATTAGAAGATTTGTGTTCGGCGAGTATCAGCTAACACCGGCCGATATAAGAAAAGCACCTCTTGGCGACGTTGTTAACTACATTAAATCTGTAGGCTGGCTCACGAGCTAGGAGGTGCCTATCATCTTAGGAGGATGCACAATGGGCCTAATGAGGCCTAAGTGCCGTGGGGTTAACCTACCCTCTACACGTTACAGATACAGATTGGCCATGCCAATTGTGCGTATTTGTCATAATTTAAATTTGTTTAGTCCACATGAAAAAAATCATTTTTTTTGTAGTTTCTTAAAATAGAAGCGCATCTCAGATGTCATAAAATTTTAATGTAATTTTGTGTAGGATATTTTTGGTTGTCATGGAAACGTTTTAAAATATGATTGTCTATAAAATAAAGGTGTCACATTTTCACAAAAATACAGTATCTACGTTCAGTTTTCTGATATACCAAATGAGTCTGTTTCTCTCCACAGAAAGATGGCTGCAACAATTACGCCATCATCGTCAATTGTTTCCTGCTTTACATCCACCATCTTTAACACGGCTGGAATATATTTTGAGGTGTTTAGCCCATTTATCAAACATGGTGAGTTCTAGTTTGTTATTACAACTTTGTTAATAAATATTTTTAATTATTAATTGAGTGCCTATACTTAAGAGTGTGAATCCTTGGGTGATTTTAAAAAGGAAAGTTATAATAACATATGTTGTATATCTCTTAATTTTTGAGCTACAGTTAGTTTAAAAAAAAATTACGTTTTTATCATAAGATATTTTTAAGAAATTTTGTACACACCTTCTAATCATCAAGAAAAATTTTTTGGCGCCAGATTCTTTAAATTCTTACCAGTGACATTCGTAGGGGGGTTGAACTGAATATTTATGAAGAAAAAGATGGTACGCCACTGCTTTTCCTAAAAATTAATGTTATTTTAAAAATTCTTATTTGAAGCAAATTTGGCACATAGACTTACTTTGGTATGATTTGGTACAAAATCGAAGATTTTCATTAAGAAATTTGCTAAATTCTTCACAAACATCAACAAAAGGAAAGCGTATCATGTTTATAGTAGCTAACGTAATTTATAACGTTTTCAGATATTTACAATCAATGTGTAGAGTGTAGAGTTTATAAAAAATAAGAAAATCTGTTTTTTCAGATAGATATCGGAGTAATTGCATATTTAAATGTAATATTCAATTCTAATAAACTTTTCTTAATCAAAATTTTCGATTTTGTCAAAAATAAACTTTTGAGCAAAATTCATATTTTTTGACAAACTTCGTATACGGCTTGAAAAATTTGATATGTGATGACTGTATTTTAGGTTTTGGGTCGTGCAGGACTTTTTATCAAGAATAACTTTTTTTCCTAAAATCAATAATAAAAATGTTTTCCATATGGTTCCAACTTAAGTATCCAGAAAACGGGCAAAAAAGTAATTTCATAGAAAGTTACATTTTGTTACCTGACAAGAAATAAAATGTCAAAGTTTTTTCCTGTCACAAAAAAGAATAATTATTTATTATACAAGGGAAAAAAGTGTCGATACTAATTTTTCTCCTTAAAATCATCCAAGGATTCATACTCTTAGGCATCGGTACTCAATTAATAAACACACTCTGTATATTTGTTTAATACTTCAAGAACAATAATTAAATTATTTATATGATTGGTGTATGCGCAATAAATTGTTTCTCAGTATAAAAAAGCTATAAATGTTAGCAGAAAAGTAAACATAACAAACTATACTATTAACAATGAAGAACTGATCAGGTGTTATATTTTATTCGGACCTAACTTTTATTGAACATGTTAATATTATCACAAAATCTACTATGATTTTGATTTCGTAATTGTCAAAAATTTAGGAGGGATTAACTTTTTAGTAACACGTCAAAATGCACGTCCCAATTTATAATAATTATTTTTATTTATATATATTTTAATATTTTTATTATTGTTTATTACTATCTTAGTACTTATTTATTTGTATTCTTAAAAATCTATTATAAAGTCTATTCAAATTTAATTTACGCCTGATGTAAACAGAAGCAGGTGGACGCTAAAATTGAGCAGGGCCGTATTTTACTTTTCCGTCTTGCAAAAAATGTAAAATAAAAGATTGTAATTGTGAAATTATTTTTTTATTACGATAAAAACATATTTTGTAAAGTAAAACTATAAAATAAATGCCATACACGGTCTTCCAGACTTTAGTGACATTTCTGGACGAAGATAGGTGAGCGACATAAACTGCGTTAACCTGCAATACAAATTAATAAATGTAATTGACTTTAAAAGAGATGGTTGCATTATATTTACTCCATTACATATGTCTACTGTGATACAGAGCATTAAAACAATCATATTATAAAATTATATTGTACAGGGTATCCAAATAATTGCAAATTCTTTAATAGCTAATATATATCTACTAAAAGCATTAAAAAAACTTTAAATATAAGAGGTATTTGGTATTTGAATTTGGTATTTGATTTAAAATTGTGCATCTTAAAAAGAAACCTTTTGTATTTTTGATAACTTTTGTTCTTTATTGTTCTTGTTCTACTAGTATTTAGATTAGACAACGTGTACCCTGTATTATAGCAATCTTCCTTACTTGACTTAGCACTATTCTGAATCGGATAAATTAGTTAGACTTGAAAGGCTATCTTCATTAATCAAAATTACAAGTGGTTCTACCTGAACTTCTATAATATTATCCAACTCCCACATTTTTACTTCAACTTTTTGGCGAACATGGTCGATACACTTTTTCCATTTTTCTGGAGAAATTAATAATATTACTTCTTCAAAAAGAATTTTAATGTCTCCAGATTTAAATGTTGAGTTTTTATCTGCTACGTATTGTTTAACGTCAACCTAGATTAATTTAATAGGGTTAAGTTCACAATGATACGGAGACATGTGAAGTATTATGTTGTTTTGCTGCTTAGACATTTCATCTATTACATACCTATCATAATGTTTATGTTGCTTACCAAGTTTTAGAAGTTGGATCTTAAGCATTTGGTAGTCGAATTCAATTTTTTTCCCTTATAGCCATTTTTAAATATCACCTTTTTTAGACGTCGTTGATATTTTTTCCAGCTTTCTCGAATAATAATGCAGGTATCTTCTAATTTTGGTAGGGTGTTTGAAAACCACTCTTTGAACGATTCTCCACACATTTCTTCATGGTAGTCACCGGATTTTTCAACTCAAATACATAAAGTGCATTAGAGACAAAGCCTTCTTCACTTCAATATGGCATATAATGAGCTGTTTTTACGCACATACCTGATGGGTTTTTAAAACCAGTTAAAAGTTCATCCAAAAAGGCTTGTCTGGATGAAAAAACCGACATATCGAAACATACTTTTGATTTGGTGTGGCCTGCGTTAATCCAAGTCTCATCAAGATAATATATTTTTTGCTTTTCTTCTCTGTACCGTTTTATTTTTTGTGGCGTAGGACGAAACAATTTCATTTTTGTCTAAAAGCAAACTATTTTTTCCTCGAGTTTTAAATTTAAAATTAAGGGTTTTGAAAAGCTTGTAAAATGTAGCTCGCTTAAAAGTAGACAAATATGGATCATCGTTGACTTCTTATAAGACCTTATCAATTGTTGGAAGTTAATTTCTAAAGAAGAATTGATGTACTTTGCGCCTTATTGCATTTTTATCAAAATCATCCACAGAGCCACTAATTTGTTTATAACGTAGCTTTCTTTTTGGTTCAGAAAATTTATAAATCTGCCTATACTTCTTCATAACATTAAAAATGGTTTTAGCGCACATCCCTGTTTTATCAGCAACTCTCCTTTCAACATTATGTACCAACATATCAGGGTTCTATAAAATTTAATGCTTATAAATAATAAGAACCATTTCTTTAGTACGGATGACCAAATGTCCCTTTTTCAGTCGCTTTTTAGAAGGAGTAAAAATATTTTTCTGGACTTCATCTGCTGTATCTGTGGAGGACATAGTGTCACGCAGCAATTACAAAATATAGTCAATAAAATAGAGTAAAACATGTTCAAACTAACAACAACCACAAAAACAAAAAAAATAAATAACACAATATATGTATATCTAAACTATAATATAATGAATTATAATCAATCAAACATACAAAATGTCCAAACTACCCAACACGGTGAATGCTACCAAAACGCCGTTTATAATTATCCAAATTGAACTGGATTCGACTCTGACAAAAAATATTTGCGCGTCGTCTAAATGACTAACGACCGATTAACCAATAGAAGCTGTTACTGGATGGGAGAAATTGTTTTGACGCGGTGTAAATGAAATCTGAATAGACTTTAGTTATATTTTGTCCTATCTTTGGATGCAATATCTGTTGGGCAATACAGAATTTAATTATTTATTTCAAAAATATGCATGTACTCCCATCTTAAGTGGATCACACTGTATACAAAACTCACGCGATTTGTATAAAGACATCCAATAACATTATTTTCGAAAGCATCAAACATAATACAAACAAATGTAAAAATCACAAACTCGTCCTGTTTTTTTTTTATTTCACTATGCGACACGAAACATCATACAAATCCTTCGGCAGCTTATATTTTCTTTTTTCTTCAAGAAAGCTTTCTGGAAATGCTGTCCTTTCAACAAAGAGATCCGCGGAGAAATCGTGGCGACTTTGAGAAAGGGAACACCGGAGTGGTTTAGATCGCTGAAAGCCGCTATTATGACCTCCGACGAGTACGATCCCTCGTTTGTGGATTTCTGTTCCGAATTGTACGTCCAATTGAAGCAGGCTTTGTCGCATTACCATCCGCTATTCGAGGGGTAAGTCGTAAAAACGTTTATTTTTGTTTGTTTATTTAGAAATTGTGACTATCACATGAATAAGTTAACTAGATAAGTAACTGTCACGATTTGTTGGGCTGGAACATGTTCCTTCTCCATTAGAGCTTTGTTTACAGTTCAAAGGTTATAGTCGCCCGCGTGTCGAAAATATTCTGGCGCCCTTTGAATAATGTATATGTCGCAGGCTTATCGTCAGCGTTGCCAACGGTTTATCAGGATATTACTGGCAAAATGGGATCAAAAGGCTGGCAATTACTGGCAAAATATTTTCGATTACTGGCAATATAGCATGTTAATTTTTTCTAGTACCTAGGAACAGCCCAGGCCAAAAAGATTAAAGTTCCGTAAATTTAGATAAAGAAAACAATGACGTTGGTGCGTGGCCTTTAGCTGCTTTGAAATGAGGTTGACATTAGTCGTTTTCCTTTGACGTATGGTTCTGGTTATGGTTGACGTTAAATTGACAGTATTTTTGACAGCGGTTCAGATTTTGGTTCATATGGATGACGTCATAACAAAAGCCAATGGAATGAATGGGTTATCGGTTCGGTCAGTCATATGTCATTTTGGTGTAAATTTAAATACCACGTGTGTCTCATTTTTAAAGTTAGTTCTTAATTTTATTTTCTTTTAATTTTTTTTGTGTAGTTAGTTATTTACCAAAGAGAACCTAAAGCTTTATGATATAGAAGAAAAAATATTAACTAACTAAGGACCGATTCCACCGTTGGGTTAAACGAAGTTTAAAATTACATTTTTACATTAACAATGTCATTTTTAATCTCCGTTTAAAACAACGGTGGAATCGACCCTCTATAATATAAAAATGAAATATAAATAAAATAGACACTACCGACAGGGCAACTAACAGACGAAAATAATACTAACTAATTTAAAACTCTTTAAAATGAAATAGAAATAAAACCGACACTACCGACAAAGCATTTAACGAACGATGCAGACCTTTTTCTAGCGATAAACAGAATGATAATCTTCTCTTGAAAAATAGTGGCACATTTTTTGAATCTCATTTCAGTCCCAGACTTAATCTTAATGGTGTTCAAATAAACACACACACACACGCCCTTGAAAATTTCATCCAGAATACTAAACATTCCTAGGAAGTTTTGTCAATCACTACATATTTTACTTTTATTTACATTATTGTCTAAGTTCTTTTTTCCTTATTCATATTTATAAGAAAAGTGTCTAGTAAGATCTATTTTCTTAGTTGACCTCGTACGGAACTATTTAGGTTCCGCGGGAAAACTAAATTTAAAAAGTTAGACAATGAGAAGAATACTATTTAAATAAGGATAGAACATACCGCAAACTAGAACCGACTCGCGAGGCTGGTTCAAAAATGTTAACCAAATGGTTATAAGTGACGTCATTGTTTATGAAAGGAATATGGTTGGTTCTAATTTGGTTAACTAGAACCGGAACCAAACCCCAAAGGAAAACGCATATTCTGCGGAGATATTTAGAAATGTACTAGAAAATTCGAGGAAAAATGTACTAAATTTTAGATTTACTGTCAGTTGTCAAAATTGTCATGTATGTTGTCAGTTGTCATGTCAAATGTCAACTGCAGGATGGATGTTTGTTTTGTTTTTAATGAAGATTAGTAAAATAGTAAAAAGTTAAATTTAAAACAAAATTTCGGTTCACGGATCATCGAACTACGACGTACATAGACATTGACATTATATTTGCGACTTTCTTCTTTTTGTTTCTCTTCTTTCTCTATATGATACCGGTCTTGGGTACGTAGTTGTTCGGCCAGCGCTGGCCACTAACAGTGGTGTGAATTCTGAATGTCAAATGTCAATCTAAGATACTAGAATGATGCCTCGAATTAAAAACCGATATAATATATATTTTTAGCGGAATAATTGGAGAATTATAAAATACTGGCAAATTACTGGCACAAAGTCATTGCTGGCAAAATTACTGGCAAGCTTCATTTTTACTGGCAAATGCCAGTAATTACTGGCAGATTGGCAACGCTGCTTATGGTAATAACAGTCTTATTATAATACGCCTAGCATTTTTCAATACGACGAGGCATATTATAATACTACCCAAATAATTAAGAATCTCACAATTTGACTAATCATGTCAGGCGTATTATAACAAGCCTGTCGATTGTTAGACATATTATTAAATTGAATAGATGCGCAAGCGTTTTAGAATCCGACTAGATGAAATCCGTCGTATTAAAATACGACTAACGGTGTTCCAGGCGAATCGTGTTTATAATACGACTGGCACATGACTGTGTGCCCTGCGAACTATACTCAACCATTTATTTTAAACACTGGTCTACTTTTATGACATTTGCTAGTACATTTCATACGAGCTTTAAAACATAGACATTTATTGGTATGACACTGTGTCTTGCTTGGCTTGCAAGAACCATTTTTAAATTCCTCATTTTAAATTAATATTTTGCACAAATATTAGGTAGGTACAAAAAAAATAAAACATCTAATCAACTGAACAACAATGATGATTGCAATTCGCCTGGCACATCTTCAGTCGTATTAAAATACGAAGGATTAAATCTAGTCGGATTCTAAAACATAAGCGCGTCGGTTCAATTTAACAATAAGACTAACAAGCGGCAGGCTTATTATAATACGTCTGAAATTATCAGTCAAATTGTGAGATTCTTAATTATTTGAGTAGTATTATGATATGCCTAGTCGTATTGAAAAAGCCTAGACGTATTATAATAAGACTGATTTTATAATAAGCCTACGACATATATAAATTATTTTAAAGAACTCTAAGTTTTATATGTTTTTAAATTTCCTAGTTTGCTGTTATATTCTCGTAGTTGTTTAAACATTTGCGCGAAATCCGAAAACACATTTAATTTTAATTTTTTAAATAAACAACAAATTTCAAACACTAAAATTTTATTTTTCTTTAGGTAAAACAAACAAAACAATATACAAACAAAATATTCAATCAACAAAAAATTAAATGAATTCTTTCTGGATTTTTCTGATGCAAATTCTTTTATAATATTGTCAATATCTATTTTATAGAGGATATCTTACTCTATAGCTAAGACACAGGTAAAGTAAGCAGGATTCTTAATGAAATGGTAATATTTGGGATTAATAGTTTGTTTTTAAATATACAGGGTGTCCCGAAATTAGACGGTCATATTTTAACAGCTTAATCTACATTTTATCCTAAAATAGGAGTAAAAGTTTATGTAAACATAGGTCCGAAAACGTTTCGTTTTCGAAATACAGGGTGTTACAAGTGAAATCCTAACAGCACATTTTTGTAAATGTTTTCTAAAATTTCGTCAATCACCGGTTTTCCAAAGTTAAAAAAAAAGTAAAATTTCTGATTTCACAGGCCTACTAATTATTGTTTACACTTTCGAATAAGATAACATCACTTATCATGAACTATTCAAATGCTTTTCTCTTGAAAATAGTGCGTCCTAGCGAGATGCAACAAAAGTTGCTTTATTATAAAGAAAACATTATATAGTCAAAAATGTTAAAAACTGTCAACAAAAAAAACCTAAATAAAGCGTAAAAGGGAAGCATTTGTACCAAATTTCACTTAGTTATCTTTAAACGTTTAGAAAATATTTACAAAACTGTGTCATCATGACTTCACTTGTAACACCCTGTGTCTCGGAAAAGAAACGTTTTCGGACCTATGTTTATATGAACTTTTACTCCTATTTCAGGATGTAGATTACGCTGTTAAAATATGACCGTCTAATTTTGGGACACCCTGTATATTGCAGAAAGTCGAGGATATTTACCGCTTTAGGGCTTTTATTTTGTTAAATAAATCATTTTCTTCTAAGTCAGCCTCCTTATTTTCATAACCTTTTTTGTAGAAAACGAAAGCTTTTTAAAATATCTTTGTCATTTAATCTAAAAATATCAGTAAAAAAACCAACAACGTTGTTGTAATCAGCTATCATTTGAAATCTATTATTTAAAGAACTTAGTGTTTGAACAATTAATATTCGAAATTTGTTTTATACGCCGTTTGTTGATATTGAGGTGTCCCATCCCTCTGCTCATAATCAAAAAATTTTGGCTTATACTTTCGCCTGACAGTATTTAACGGAGGAACACCTTGCTGCTCTATTTCAAGAGCGGTTGCTAATTTTCCAGCTTGAGCTAGTTTTTCCTCGAAAACATTATTATGTTTAAATAGTTTTGGTACACTTTAATATCAATCGTTACACATTGAATCTCACCGAAATATATCTTCCAAAGACATATAAAGTTATAACCGAACAAATAGAAGAGTCGGAAGTGGCAGGTACGATTCATATCTAAACCGACGGTTCGAAAACAAAATAAGGCTCAGGATGTGGAATATACTTCAGATCCTTAATCTTAAACATTATGTGGGCTATGAGCAATAATGCCAGCGCAATTCAAACCATGCTCACGAGGATTCTCATACCAGCAAAAGAAATTACCAGGAACAATATTGTTCTCTGTGACTTTGAAATCTTCTCAATCGCCGTCACAGAAGTAAGTGTTTCTTCTCATCAGCTGGACGCAGTGGACTTTAGTAATGCAAGTAGTAGAAATATGTGATACTTGTAATTCCTCTACACTTATTTGTTAATGATTAAATTAAATATGTTCTTCAGTTAACAATTTTAGTTAAACTAAAATCTTGGTTCAGATTACAACAATTTTACATAGTAAAATAATATGAGTACTTAAATTAATGATTTGTAATCAACAAGTTTAGTACACATCTCGATTTGTGTGTGTGTCGGAGGTCAGAATAAGTTTTTTGTCTGTGGTGTCGATTGTAAGTAGGATAGCTAGCAATTGTGTGAGTATCTCGTCGTAATTAGCTGAAGGAGCATCACACGATATTTCGTCTGATTTTTTTTACAGAGAAAGATAGCATATTGTCACCTGAACCTGTGGACCTGATTAACGGTCCATTTTTAACTATACTTATGTTAG